GCAGGGGGCACGTTGGCGGGGGGGCCTGACAGACTACGCAAGAACTGAACAACGGATGCCTTGCCTGGGCCTCTGGGGGCGCCCTGCTACGCTATCTCAAAGCCCACAGACGTTACAGTCATCTATCCCCCCACAGCGGGAAGGAGCAGGTGGGGACTCTCTGCCCTGTTAGGATAATCAGGACTCAAAGACATGGAAACATAAGGTTTATTCCAAGCAGTTATTCTATATGCAGATAGGGAGACCATTTTGATTCTAAAAAAAAGCAAATGGCTCTAACTAGGCTAGTTATAATGAAGCTTAGAAAGAGACGATGAGGGAGAAGAGATCACCCACTGGTTAATCTTAACGTGACTGACTGAGCCCTGCCCTCCCCCTTTACTGAGATCAACCAACATCACAAGGTGGTCTCTGGCCGGGCTGCTAACATTTTGGGTCTCTGTCCACCTGTGGAGCCCTGGTGGCACAGTGGTTAAGAGCTTGGCTGCTAACCAAAAGGTCAGCAGTTCAAATCCACCAGGTGCTCCTTGGAAATCCTATGGGGCAGTTCTTCTCTGTCCTATAGGGTCCTATAGGGTTGCTGTGAGTCAGAACCGACTCATCGACAATGGATTTTGTTGGGTTTTATCCACCTGCAGCCATGATACCTTTTGAAATTTAAATTAAGTAAGCCTAGAGTCTTTTTTCAAAAGGATCCCTGGTGGCACAGTGGTTAAGCGCTCAGTGGCTAACTGAAAGGTCGGCAGTTGGAACTCACCAACGGCTCTGAGGGATAAAGACCTGGTAATCTGCTTCTGTAAAGATTACAGCCTAGAAGACCCTATGGGGAAGTTCTACTCTGTCACACGGGGTCGCTATGAGTCAGAATCCACTCAACGGCAAAGGGCTTTTTAGTCTTTTCCGTTAAATCATGAGGTAATGGTTTTGTTGTTGACTATCATTTTCTAGCAGGAAAAGACACATTTCCACGGCTGTCGAGCAGCTTCCGGTGGAGGAAAAAACACCAACGCTTTCGCAGTTTGGGTCAGCCTTTTTTTTTTTACAGTTAATGTTTGATTTCATGGGTAAGAAAAATCCTTAAAATCGAAGTAAGATGTCTGTTATTAATGTTTCTCTTTGACAACCCCCAGACACCAGCACAGCCAGAGGAGGAGGCTGAGCTGGGTCCCCGGGCAGAGCCGTGTGTTGACATCCAGGCGCTGGGTGCCTCAGACCAGCCCACGCTCAAATTCACAATCCTAGAGCTCCCACAACGAGGAAGGTAACCCTGCAAACCGCAAGCTTCACAAAATGTTCTGCTGCCTTGTGGTATTATTCACACACACACTCACACGCGCGCGTGCACACACTCACACGCGAACACACACACGCACGCACGCACACACACGCGCACACACATGCACGTGTGCACACACACGCACGCACACACACGCGCGCGCGCGCACACACGCGCACACACTCACACACGCACACACACACACACACACACAAGCAAGCCCTCCGTTCTCGAGATTTAGCTCTGTGGGAGCGGGTGTAGTGTTTTCTTCTTCAATAAAATGTGCTTCTTCGTAAGGAATTAGAGAGGAAAAAAAAAGGACCTGAAATTGTCATTCCAAAGATGAGACAGAAAGGGAGGGAGGGAGGGAGGAGGGCAGAGAAATGTCAAAGACGGTTTTCTAGGATTATTACGCAGTGAACTTTTGTTTACCTTGTGCCTTGCTAATTTATTGTTATTTGATGAAAGAGAATAGTTTTAGGGCCCAATTTTAGTCCCACTTATTGGAAACCCTTCCAGAGAACTTGGGTCTGACTTACTAGCAACGTTTCAGTCATTCTTGCATATAAGGCAGCCGGCCGCTGAGTACAGCAGCAAACCTGTTCGTCTGTTAGCTAAGGCTGTAAGGGACTTGATTTTCTTTATAAATAGCAAAAGCAAAATACAGTACGTGTTTGCTGACGATTTTCAAATCTTACTGTCTAGCCTGAAACCTCTGCTGTTGTAGCTGCTGCCGAGTCAGCCCCCAACTCATGGTGACCCCACGCCCGACAGAATGAAATACTGCCTGGGTCTGTGCCATCCCCATGATCAGAGGCAGATTGGACTGTTGTGATCCCTAGGGTTTTCACTGGCTGATTTTCGGAAGCAGATCGCCAGGCCTTTCTTCCTAGTCTGTCTTAGTCTGGAAGCTCTGCTGAAATCTGTTCAGCATCATCACAACACGCAAGCTTCCACTGACAGACGGGAGGTGGCTGTGCATGAGGTGCTGTGGCGGGGAATAGAACCTGAGTCTCCTGCATGGAAGGCGAGAGCTCTACCACTGAGCCACCACTGCCCCTGGAAGCCTCGGTCATCCTATCCAATCTCTGTCCTGTAAGGCATCTCCCACTGTCTACTCAACCTCTGCAGTTCCCAAACTAAACACACATTCTCTTTCTTCACAGTGAACTTTCTCTCTCTCGACTTCCCATTTCTCCCGAAGGCAAGGCTGCTAACACGGCTTTGTAAGCTTTTACCCGGCCACTCTGGGAGGTTCGACTTTCTTTGTGGTGTATGCGGATAGCACCGTTGCAGTCAGGCAGTAGGACACGTATGTGGCTGCATGTGGGGACCCTATAGCGACTCCAAGGAGGGAGAAAGACCTGGCGATCTGCTCCTGTAAAGATTACAGCCTAGAAAACCTATGGGGCAGTTCTGCTCTGTCACACAGGGTTGCCATGAGTCAGAATCGACTCGACAGCACCCAACAACGTGGCTCCACCATGGTCCTAGTTATTAGGCTCCAGACACCCTGTAATCTCCTTTCTTCTGCACCCTCCAAGAGTCAACAAATCCCAAAGTCTCTCTTCAAGGCCTGTCTCATGTCTGTCCTTGTGGTCCAGCCCCACCCCACCGAGTGAAAGTTCCCGCTGCATCTTCGCAGGATTGCTGTCATGGTGCCTCACGAGCAGCACTGCACCCACATCTCTCCACCCAACGCCCCCCCCACACACACCGCTACCTTCCCACAGCTCACCTCTTCAAGAAACCGCGTTCCTTTCCCATTGCCTGTTCGCCCCCAACCTTCATTTCAACTTCTCTAAACTTATCTCTACCACTACCTACCCTGAAAATCAAGTTCCTGTACAGTCGCCTCTGACTCACGGCAAGCCCATGTCCTTCAGAGTGGAACTGTGCTCCGTAAGATTTTCAATGGCTGGTTTTTTGGAAGTAGGTTACCAGGCCTTTCTTCCCAGGTGCCTCTGGGTAGACGCCAACCTCCTCCAACGTTTTTATCAGCAGCTGAGCAGGTGAACCATTGCACCACTCGTGGACTGCACCACTGTCTAGACAAGTGATTTTTATTGTTTTATCATGCACGCGTGTGTGTGTGTACACACACCAGTGTACGGATGTATGAGTGTGTTTGTACAGTTGTTGTTTTGGTGGTTACTTAAAACTTCCGTTAGATTAAAATAACAGAAAAGGCCTGAGAAAAATATAAATTGATGAAAACCAGACATTAAATTTTTTAAAATTACGGATTACAGAAAATTTCAAACACACACCAAAGAAGAGAGACGACGTGCTGTACTTTCACCTAGAGACTCAACGACTGTAACACTTAGCCATTCGCTTAGCCTGCGGTTTCACAGAACTCAAATGTAATCTTACATGATAGCGCGATACGGCAACATTCTCCGACAGACTGTAGATTAGTCACATGATCTGCAGAACTGTGCTATCTGTCTATTACGTTAGCGACTAAAAGCTTTAAGTTTGTTTTTTCAAGAATGGGTGATACATTTTGATATAAACCCACTGCCGCTGAGTCGATTCTGACTCATAGCCCTACAGGACAGAGCAGAGCTGCCCCATAGGATTTCCAAGGCTATAATCTTATGGAAGCAAACTGCCACATCTTTCTCCCTTGGAGCAGCTGGTGGATCTGACTTTCATTTAGCAGATGAGCACTTAACCACTGTGCCACCAGGGCTCCTTCCTTTGCATATAGTTCATGAAAAAGTGAACCATCTTCCTAACAACCACGACGGCAATAACGACAAGAGTGGTATTGGTGTCTAAGGTCTTCTGTGTCACACAGACTGGCGGAGCTGCTTTGCATGAACTGCCTTCCTTAACTCCCACAGTAACACTATTGGTCGGTTCTGTTTTATTCTCATTTTACGCCTGAGGGAACTGAGGCGCAGAGAGTTATACCCAAGATCACCGAGCTATTTACAGCAAGACGGGGACTTGAACCCCTACATTCTAGCGGCAGTACTCTTAACCCGTGTCCATGCGTGGAAATCAGAGACTGAAGTATGGTGCCTTGTAAACAAACCAAACCCATTACCACTGAGGCGATTCTGACTCATGGCGACCTCACATGTTACAGAGTAGAACTGGTGCCTTGTATAATTTGTTCCCTTTTCCAAAATACATACCTTCACTAATTCCATAACAAGATACAGTTCAGTTGGCACATCCATCTCCTCAATCAGAAGAACAATATTGGGGTGCTTCACTCTTCTTAAAATAGACACCTCATTCTGTATCATGTGCTCCTGTCCAAGGGAAAAATCACCGTAATCAATACACATACAAATATACACGAGACGTTAACTCAAGTGAGAAAAACCATCCTATCTGAGAACCAAGGGAGATGCATTCTGGTAAAACACAATGATTGTATCTTAGCTTCTAATATTGAGATAGCCTAGAATTTCCAAAAGATGATGAAGGTCCTTAGCTCATGGCTGCAAATTTCAGAACCTATCACGATAACTGTAATTTCATTTAGAAAGATGAGACAAAATTCAGATAAAAAAGCCAGGGAAGAAAACAAGCAAACAAAGATAAGGTATAAAAATAACATCTAATCATTCCAAATAACTTTTATTTCAGGAATATTTATAAAGTTGTATTGTTACCGGGTGGAAACCCCAGGTTCTTGCTCAGCATGACTCGTATTGGCCAATATACGAGAGATCGAGGTGGGAGAACAGGAGAGGCACCTTTATTTCACTGTACAAGGAAATGGAGTCAGTCGGAGCTGCTGCTGCCAAGACTCCTCGCCAAGGGAGCGCAGGCAGGCTACTTTTAAAGGGTTTACAAGTAGGGAGTTCACACAAGTTACGTCAGCAACATTCTTAATCATACTACGCAGGCACGATGGGGTTTACATATAACCTCCAAGGAAAAGCAGGATTCAAATGCAAAGCTGGGTGGGGGGCAGGAAGCCCAGCAAAGGAAACAGGGTTTTTAATACAGCACTGTGGGGGTTGTCTCAGTATTCTGATCGTAAGTATACAACATTACATTCCACCAAAATGCACTGTTAAGGTGAACTTATGTTTACCTAGAGCTTATCTGGGAGCTGCTCTTTGTGTTTCTATCCCTCAAACACTTTGTTTTTAAAACATGAACTTTATACATACTTTGCCTCGACATTTGCTCTTCTTGATAATTTTCAGAGCATATTCCCTAGCCGTCGACCTGCAAAGAGAAGAGTTTTCATTGTATAAAAATCAAACTTAATTTTGAATCTACTGAATCCTTGTGTTAAGGATTATTTCTTACCCCATGAATCTGGCATCACGGTGTAAGTACAAGACTCTCTATTTGTTTTTTTAAAAGAAATATGTAAAAGTTTGTGATTTGACCAAAGTATAACACCAACAAGTAGGCTAGCATAGAAGAATCTTGAGCTGTTGATGCCGACATACTTGTACTAAACACTTGTGGATAAAAACATTATTTGGTCTCTATTTGCCTAGAACAGCAGAGGAAGGAGACTCAGGAATTGGAGAAGAAAAAGGACGGCAGGTTTTACGGCCTCCATGAACTACTACTTCTACCACCATGACTCCAGAAGAACTGGATGGTGCCCCGCTACCATTACTGAACGTTTTGATCAAGAACCCAACAGACGGATCCGGATCAAAAGAAGGAAAAGTGTGGAATAGAACTTCAAACTCATATAGAAACCAGCTTACTGGATCCATTGAGACCGAGGGAACCCCCGAATCTATTGTCTGGAAATAATCTTTAAACCTTGAACCAAAACTAACCCACGAAGTCATCGTTAAGCTAAACAATAGTTTGGCCCAATTAATAAAGACTGTTTGCCTCGAGCATAGCACTCTTATAAAAAATCTTCTGTATGAGCGTAACCAACAACAGTTAATCTAAAACAGCTGAGAACCATAAGGGGCGGAGAGCCTGAAGGAATGGTGATGAACCAGTACGGGCCGAGATAGAACGGTGACACGGTGAGAAGGATGCAACCCACGTCGGCGAACTGTTCACGCAGAAATTCTGAATGCATGCATGTTAGCTTGTGTGTATTGTCACTAAAAATAAATAAATTATTATTAAAAAAAAAAAAAAAAAAAAGCCGCCATCCCAGGCAGGGCCAGAGAGCTAGGATGGAGCTGTGTGCAGGGCTCTCAAAACTCAAAGTAGAGGTTTCCACTTATCATTTCCAGCAAGGGGGCTCAGGGGCTTGGACCGTTGGTAAGAAGAGAGGAGGATTCCTTAGCTTTGTGATTCTCCATATTTGTCATCTGATCCTGTTTCCTTTGGATGAATAACAGTAAAGTTACAGTAACTCAAAGGGAAAGGGCTGGTGTGGGGCCTGGGAGGTTGAATCCTACTCTTCAGCCAGACAGGAGGCCAAGCTGGCGGGTCACGCCCCTGAGCCTGCAGCTGAGGGGAAGGCGGTCTGGTAGCACGATGGTTAAGCACTCGGCTACTAACTGAAAGGTTGTTGGTTCAAACCCACCCAGCATCTCTGCTGGAGAAAGACCTGATCTGCTCCTGAAAAGATTACAGCCAAGACAGTTTAAAGGAAACACAGCCTCATCTACCCTGAGTCCAGAAGAACTAGATGGTGCTCAGCTACCACTACTGACCATTCTGACCAGGGCCACAGCAGATGGACCCTGACAGAATGGGAGAAAAATGTGGAACAGGACCTAAGACTCCTGAAAACAAACGAACAAACCAGACCTCCGGACCAGTTGGGACTGGAAGACGCCCAGAGACTATCGCCCTGAGATGCTCTTCAAACCTTGGACTGAGGTCACCTTGTAACTAAACAACGAATTGGCTCCGACAATAATGACTATCACCTGTAAGTACTGTGCTCCTTTAAAAAATCACCTTATGAGACCAAATGGTCCACAATTACTTTAAAACAAAAATGAGAAGGTCGGGGGCAGGGAAACCAGATTAAAGGAAGCGGAACAACCAGAATGGAAATAATGAGAATGTTCACCCAGTGTGAAGAATGTAACCAATGTCACTGAACAACTTGTGCAGAAATTGTTGCGTGGGAACCTAAACTGCTGTGTAAACCTTCACGGAAAACACAATGAAATAGTGTTAAAAAAGAAAAATACAGCCCAGAAAGCCCTACGGGGCAGTTTTGCTCTGTCACATGAGGTCGCCATGAGTTGGAATCGACTCGATGGTACCCTACAACAGCAACAGCTGAGGGGAAATGAGAGCAAACTTGGGCTCGGTGGCCTAGGGCCACTAGGAAAAAGGACCTGTGGGTTCCCCATCTAGAACCTTACATAATCGGATTAAACAATTAAATTTACCCATATTTTATATTGGACAATGAGCCCCTTGAATGGCCACCAAAATTAGTATTGTAGGTTCTCATTCTTGATTCCTTGAGAGCAGAGCTATAAAGTCACATAATAAAACCCTTAATTACTTGAAGTATATGTTTACAGGAAAGTTGCTGAGTTTGCAAAACGAGTCAAAAAAACAGGTGTTAGCACTAAATGAATATCCTAAGAGTAAAAATCTAACCGTCTGCTCTAAGTTGGGAAATGAAAGCTTCTGGCAAGAAAGAATATCCTTTTGGGAACAGCCTAGTGCTTAACTGTTGTGCCACCAGGGTTCCCTCAGGGTATGTACACAAACGCAGGTAGGAAGGCAAACGCATCATTTAAGGCTCGTGGAGGCTGTGGTTCCTGTGGTCCCCTAGTCTTCGGACTAATATTTCCCTTGTGTCTTTGGTTTTCCTCATTCTCCTTTGCCCCAGATGGGATGGGACCAATAGATGTATCTTAGATAGCTGCTCACAAGCTTTTGAGGCCCCAGATGTTACTCACCAAAGTAGGATGTTTTCGAAGTAGCATTTTCTTTATGGACTATGTTATGCCAGCTGACCTAGATGTCCCCCGAGACCATGGTCCCCAGCCCTCAGCCCAGTAGCTTGGTCCCTCAAGGGGTCTGGATGTGTCTAGGAAGCTTCTGTGACTTTGCCTTGGTCAAGCTGTGCTGACTTCCCCTACATTGTGTGTTGTCTGTCCTTCACCACCTGAGACACAGTCGCTGCTCACATCTGCTTCACTCAGTCTCTTCACCTGAATGACAATCACAAGTCCAGAGCCTGGAGGGTGCAAGGTGATGGGGTCACAGTCAAGGCCTCGGTGTGTGCTCTGACCTCTCCTCAGTACTTTCTGGCCCCTCGAGTTTGCTCTGGGACCTACAACACTCCACCAGAGAGCTTCAGACTGGAGCACATCTCTCCCAGCTCCAGTCACAGAACACCAATGGCCCTCAGCTTGTGCTGGCGGCTCCTGAGGGAGCCTGGGTGGTACAGCGGTTAGGTGCTCAGCTACTAAGTGAAAGGTTGGCGGTTCGAACCCACCAGTGGCTCTGTGGGAGAAAGACCTGGTGATCTGCTCCCATAAAAATCACCCATTGCCATGAAGTCGATTCCGACTCACAGTGACCCCACGCGACAGAGCAGAACCGCTCCACAGGGTTTCCAAAGCTGCCATTTTACGGAAGCAGACTGCCACATCTTTCTCCCTCGGGGTGGCTGGGGGGTTTGAACCAATGACCTTTCGGTTAGTAGCAAGCGCTTTAACTACTGTGCCACCAGGGCTCCTTCCATAAAGATGACAGCCTAGGAAACCCTATGGGGTGGTTCTACTCTGTCACATGGGGTCACTGTGAGTTGGAATCTACTTGGGAGTGATGGGTTTGGTTTTTGGTTTTGAGGATTAGGGAAGCAATGGGGAATGTGAAAATGGTCAGGCTCAGTGGTGGGGGCAGGGGAGTGAAGGAGAGAGAGGGGAAAGGTGGCTTAACAGAACCCACTAAGGGGTGCTGCTCCCTCACAAAGACCGGCTGCTGCACTGGGTCTCTGTCATTGGTGGGGCTCCCCGAGCCCAGCAGGTGTGCTGGGGGTGGAGCAAAGTTTGAGATCCTCCACCCAAGGGTAGCTTAATGAGGGTGTGGCCGCCTTACCATGGAACCACCTTTCACAGAGCACAAGGTGGCAGGGGAGAAAACAAGTATCAATCGACCCAACAACCTTCATCATCTTTGAGGCCCTTTCCAGACATCCAAAGGAGCCCTGGGGGTGCAACGGTTAAGATCTCGGCTGCTAACCGAAAGGTTGGTGGTTTGAATCCACCAGTGGCTCCACAGGAGAAAGACCTGGTGATCTGCTCTCATAAAGATTACAGCCTAGAAAACCCTATGGGGCAGTTCTACTCTGTCAAATGGGGTTGCTGTGAGTTGCAATCGACTCTATGGCACCCAACAGCCATAAAGCTCTAATAGGGCATGGTTATCTGCTTCTGAATCAAAGCCCTTGGAGAAGAACAAGGTCTGGATCTTCCAGGCTGAAGCTTCCTCAGCCCCTCTTCTCAACTGAGATGACCTCTCCTAGTGGTGGTGTAGAGAGTGGGGACGTGACTCATGCAGTGTGGAGGAGCATTAGGGTGCCGAGCCCCCTCAGGAGCAGAGAGGGGTAACTGGAAACATCTAGGCCCCACGTGGCCCCCAGAAAGTCTGTGCACATGTTCACTCAGGGAACTGAGGCATGGCCCCTGACTTTCCAATACTGGGCGCACCCAGCTCTGAGATGAAGCTGCTGGCTGACCCAAACCAGCTGTTGTTGAGCTGCCTGCGACTCATACAACCCCATGTGTGTCAGAGCAGAACTGTGCTCTAAAGGGTTTTTCAATGGCTGATTTTTCAGAAGTAGATTACCATGCCTTTCTTCCGAGATGCCTCTGGGTAGACTCAAATCTCTAACCTTTTGGTTAGCAGCTGAGTGCGTTAACTCTTTGCACCACTCAGGGACTCCACTGGCCCACCAGCTCCCCTTATAAAGCAAGCAACTTCCCTAGCAAAGCAATCCACTGGGCCAAGGGATTGGGACTGCCTTAGCCTGGGCTGTAACTTGACCAGTTGTCCCTTCTCCCTCTAGTAGGTAACAGCCACTGGGCTTGACTAGGGTTCAAGAACCCAGGGGGAAATCCTTCCCTGCAAGCCCTTCCCTCTGACCACAGAGTACCTGGCTCATTCAGTCTGATGCATCTTCATGGTGGTGCAGTGGTTAAGCCCTCAGCTGCTAACCGAAAGGTCAGCGGTTTAAATCCACCAGCAGCTCCGCAGGAGAAAGATGTGGCCATCTGCTTCCGTAAAGATGACAGCCTTGGAAACCCTATGGGGCAGTTCTACTCTGTCCTACAGGGTTGCTGTGAGTTGGAAGCCACTCAGTGGCAATGGGATAGGTTCATGCATTTAAACACAATTTTTGCTGGGATCACTACATACACATTTTAAACCTTTCCAAGGTTCGTGTTGTACAGGTAGTCCCGGACTTACGATGTATCAAGTTGGGAAGAACCGCCCCTACCACCCTCCCATTTTTATTTTTATTTTTGGTACATCTCACTGTCAGTAATATGCACTCATACAATGTTGCAGCCCCTAACCTGCTGACGTCATCGTATCTGTAAGTTCATATGTAACGTTCCCAACCCGAAAGACAAATAAAGATTAGATTTCTAAAGATACTGATACTAAAAGGCAATAATGATGAAAACTAAAAAAAAATCTAGGTGTTCAACTTACAGAATCGATTTATGACAGAGTCATCGGAACAGCACCCCGTTGTAAGTCGGGGACTCCCTGTATTTAATTTGATGATAATATATGTTAGAGACATGAACTCCGCACAAGAACACTCTGACCTCCACAAACGTCACTTCAAAAAAGCATAAGGAAAAACTATCCAGTATGTCTTTTTAACAAAATTAGAAGTCTAACCTGAAAGATTTGGCAAAGTTTTGCTGAGTTCATTACAAAATTTTTTAAAAAGCCTTTAATGTATAGATTAACTACATTTTTCAAATCTGTTGTTAGAAGGGCTTTTCTTTCTTTTTTTTAAAAACAACTTCTTTTTACATCTGGGGTTGAGACATTAACTCATTCCACATGTGCCGCAGACTGCAAATAAAGACACGCAACGCCAAAAGTTTCCTTTAAATCAGTGCAAATGATACCCTGCTCACCTTTCTACACACTCCTTGACAACAGCAAAATTCCCATCTCCTATGGTCCTTCCGACTTTATATCGCTCCGTTATTGTGGCTGGGATCTGGAAGCCTTCCTCCAACACTTCTGGAAGAATCACGAGTGAGATTTTATTGGAAGAGAAGGAGACGCAGTTGTTGCACAAAAGAGATATTTAGAAGGATCATCGAATAGGCTTGAATGGATTCCGAAGCTCCACGTCAGTTTCTGTATAGCGAGGCAAGCCCCCAGGCCCCGCCGACACTGTATATACTGGATGGTTTTTACTAAGACGGAGGATGAACTAGAAGGAAGCATATGGGGTTCACCCTCACTCATAGAGGAGCTGCTCTTGCGTTCTGCTACAGTGGGGATTTGGAGAAGAAGTTTTGCTCTTCTTATTTCACTCCAATTTGATCAATACAGCATTTACTGAACACCCACTGTGTATGGAGAAATGACATTCCTAGCTATGAAGCAGGAGAAAAACGCAGTCGGAAGGAGACTCTGGGCTTCTGACGTTGTAGAGGCAAGCACGAAAACGTCCTGCCGTTTGGGCACTTACCTTTATGACATCCTGTACTGGACATCTCCCTAAAATTCCTTAGGAACTAAGCATGGATTCTCGCCCTCCCCAGTACCAACCAGCACATTTTAGACAAACGTTCCCACCAGCAACCTGTGAAGCAGATGTCGAGTTAAAATTATAATATCTGTTATGTCTGTGAACAGAACGGCTTTGGCTTTGTAGTTTGAATTATGGTCCTGCCACTAACACAACGCATTCCCCCCTCCCCCTTAAATGCGTTCTGAAATATCTTACAAATGCCTAATAACGCTTTAAATGCCGAGGTCGTAAAATTCAATAAGCCACATTGCGGTCACATAAATATGCTGGATAACCTTTAACATCTCAGGGTGTAAAAAGCCTTTTATAGCTGGGCTCTCAAATGGACATGTTTTAAGGTTATAAACCCTAGTTCTCCCTCAGGCAACCTGAATACTAAATGTGACGGAGGCCAGTGTTTCCAACGGGCTCCTCACCTGAGCATCAATCATCCGCGGAGACTAAAAATCCCTTCTCAAAATTAAATTCAAACCTGAGGGGGAAGGGGCTGTCCTGGTGAAGCTCCCGTTAACCTTCAGTCTGTCTGGTGGGGACCCGCAGACGGGAGCACACAGTCACCAGACTTCAGCTTTATGATGGCGTGTGCGTCTCGGGAGTGGCGGGAATTTCTGAAAAGTTTGCAGAAATGTGGAACACTTGGTGCCACTACTCTTACCTTAAAGGGCCCTGGTGGCACAACAGATAAGTGCTCGGCTGCTAACTGAAAGGCTGGCTGTTCGAACCCACCCAGCAGCTCCACCGGAGAACGACCTGGCGATCTGCTCCTCTAAAGATTACAGCCTAGGAAACCCTAGGGGGCAGTTCTACTCTGTCCTACAGGGTCACTGTGAGTCGGGATCAACTTGACAGCACCCAACAAGAATGACTTGGGAGGGACTAGGCATGTCTTATAATCCCCATTTTACAGAAAAGGAGGCTCTAAGATGGGGAGAGTTGAAGGAGCAAAGGAGCTTGTCCAGACAATCCAGTGAGTTCATGAAAAAGTCAATTCTGGAACCCAAAGAATCTGACCACATCCCAGAGAAATTCTAAAGGGAATTAGCTTAAGGTACAAAGAATCTTTTTCTCAACTGCCATCAATTAACTGTTTTTTTGTAAAGTCACATGTGCATACATCGCGTTCACTTCAGTCCGAGTACATCTGCAGGTCTGTAACAGTGAAGAGAGCAACTCCGGTACAGTAAAAGTGAACGCAGTTAGAGAAAACAAGGGCAGCAATTACACCCGTTCATCTCAAACGTGGAGTAAGACCGGCCTTCCTACTCAGCACACGTGTGCCTTTGGAAGGCAGGAAACACGTTAGGCTAACTCCGACTTCTGTTCCCGTGTCTCCTTGTTAGCTGCCATTGAGTCAGCCCTGGTTCATGGCGACCCCATGCACAGTGGAACGAAATGCTGCCTGGTCCGAGCCAGAGGTGGACTGGACCATTGTGGCTGAGTTTTGGAAGTAGATTGCCAGGTCTTTCTTCCTAATCTATCTTAGCCTGGAAGCTCCGCTGAAACATGTTCAGCATCGTCAAAAAAAACCCCAAAAACCCACTGCCCTTGGCTCCTACTCACAGCAACCCCATAGGGTTTTCAAGGCTTTAAATCTCTGCGGAAGCAGACTGTTCTTTCTCCCGCAGAGCTGCTGGTGGTTTCGAACCGCCAACCTTAAGGTTAGCAGCCGATCACTTTAACTACACGCTACCTCCACTGACAGATGGGTGGTGGCCGTGCATGAGGTGCATTGACCAGGAATCGAACTCAGGTCTCCAGGATGTCAGGCGAGAATTCTCCCAGTGAACCACCACTCCTCACTCCTGTTTGCGCAGAATAGCTACAGATCCCGGGGGTGGGACGGGGGGCGGGGGAGCCATATTCAATCCTATCTCCTTGTGATGGACCCTCGTGAGCTGGTCTATTTCATTCTGTGTGAGAAGTTACATTTTCCCGGAGTAAAGAGCCAACCCATCCTGTGACCCCTGAGCAAGAAGCCTTCTCCTCAGATACCAAGTCAAAACTCATCACCTTCTCTAGGCCCGTCGTTCTCGTCCATCGAGCTACAGACTTTGGTGGACGCAAGTGAGGTAGAGGAGCCTCCATGCTGAGAGCTCTGTCAGAAAACAGAAACAGAATGAAAACCTGGGTCAGAGGGTGCCGCGTCCACGCCCAGCCAGCATCGCGGGAGACAGCGGCGTCCCCTGCAGGGAGGATTTGCTCTTCACGCACGGAAAGGGGGTTCTTACAGGGGGCCTCTCCCGCCCTCCCCATGAACAAATTCAGTCATAGATCGCGTAACTGTGTCAGGCTAGTCCTTGTAAATTTGGATGTTCCACAGCTTTTTATTCCTTGTTCTCACAATTAGCACCCTTCTGCTCACCGCTGAGTTTGGCCAAATTCAGTCACCTCACCTCACCCTTCCACCCTCCATCTGCCGATGGGCCTCAAGTATGGTGCCAGTCTTCTCTCATCCACCAACTGTTTTTCTATTCTTATAACAGAAAAAAAATGTTTCTTCTGTTTGTTTTTATGGGATATCCTGAAAAATAAAATTCAGCCTTACCATACCTTTTAGGAGTTAAAGGGCAGGTTTGTTAATTCACTTTGAGAAAAGGACACAGCACTGTGCTGGTTATCCGTGCTGTGTTAAATGTTACATAATGAGGCGGAGGCAAAGCCAGAATCAAAGCCGAGGCCTGTTGATTCCCTTGTAATTTTGCTGTATTTTGGCCCAAGACCCACGAGAGCCAACAGGGTAACAACTATATTTGAGATGGGGAGCCAACACCAGAATTTACTATTATGATCAGCTAGGGAGCAGGACTTTAACAAGGACGTTTCCACCTCTGAATCATTTCCCTGAGGAAACAATTTGCACATTTGAATGCTATTTCTAAACAGTGAACACAGCTTGTCCTAAAAGGTCTTCCTTCCACTTCCCCGGGTATATCCACTTGGTTGGTCAGATGGGAGCAGGAGGCGGTGAGGGGGTGGTACTGGCTCATGGCGCTGACTGTCTGTGGAGCGGAGAGAAGGGAAGAGCAGCTACAGCTGTTAATAACGAAGAGGCGGCGAGAAGAAACGCTGACCTATTTTTCCTCTGCTTACCTGTCTCCCTGCAACCTCCTCCCATTCCGTCCAGCCTTCACTGCGGTTTTATAGCACTTCATGAGGCCCACCGTGTCCTGGACGGGAATTCACAGATTTCGGCTTTCAATAAAAGACTAATAGAGCTGGGGAAATTCTAGCTAAGTCGCTGCAGGGCCACCTGAATCAATGCCATAGGAAATGCTCCTGGGAGCGGCTAAGGTGAGCACGTCCCACTGGATGGGCTTACCAAAGCTGACAGCTGGCAGGATTTGGTGAAATTTAAATTCACAGCAGTGGTGGGCCTACTGGTGACTCTGGTGTACATCTGAATGCTACATAGTTTGTGTGATGTACCAATTATTTTTCAATACCGTAAAAAAAAAAAATCAATAAATCTGGTGATTTGAGCTACTTTTCCACCTTTTCTCATCTAGCCTCCTTGTGATCAGCAAGATACATTTGCAATACGCTAGGCTGGAAAGAGGGATTTAGATGGTGGCCTTCAAACAGAGCCTCTCTTAGTGTGACGCTAACTATGCGGTCCAAAGGACTCCGCTGTGGGCACGGTAAACGTATGAGCTTCTGAGTCGTGCTCTGCCGACTTGTACGGATGTCTGTTTGTGAAAACCTTGGATTCGTAATATTGGGATACGAGCCTGAGACCAGGCAGGTTTATTACATCAATGTCTGGAAAACATAAACATTAACGTGACCACATACTAGGGTGGGAGGCGTGTGTATTTCAGCACAGTGACTTCTTGATGCCCCAGGTCACTGCTTTTGCTGTAGACATAACGGTGTTCCAAGCAGAAAGGAACTAAGCAAGCATCTCGAATGCAGACCTTGTCTTCTCAGCCTTCTGATCCGTGAGTTTCTTCCAGCAGCATCGCGAATGGTGTTTAATAATGTGGACACACTGTGGTTTGTGGTAGCAAGCGCGGTCTTGCCATGTGGCGTTCTAGATTTTAGAATACAAAGACACACTCTTTCATCAAGCACCCAGATTAACAGGCTGGCAGTGCGTTTCCACAGCTGACGTGCTCAATTCCAAAAGCTTGTTATTTTAATAAGAACATCACATACTCGATACAGAACCCTGACCCCAAGTATATGAAAACATCTCTTTAGACTGTAATGTTTTATAAACTTGCCAGATATTACTTAGTAAACTGCCTTGTAAACCAATGAACTGCATTTTCAAAACTGCCACCAAATGTCTGATACTCTGAGTGCTTGCTACAATGTCAACTGTGTTTTCTCTGCCTTATAAACAAAACCCCTCAAGGTTTTTACACTCTGGTTAAAAAAAAAAAAGGATTAACACAAGTTTGCTTATTTTTAAAACTGCTTATTTTCAACTTTAGGTGTGTGTTTATGAAAATGTATCCCAAACTCATTTCAAACTGTATCCTGGCTGAGGGTAACAGGTGACAGACAGTTTTAAGGAAAACAAAAACAAAACCCTGCCATCAATTACAAACGGGGTACTCTGAAAATTGAAAGTTCTCATTTTATTTCTTATGCTCAAATACAGTAAACTAAGTGTATTACGTGTCCACGAGCATTGGTTCTTCTTCTCCCCAGAGAAGGCAGACAGCGGTTAACACAATATACTTTCCAAGACGCTGACCACCATACAAACCAGTTACCGTCAGGTCAGCCCCGACTCACGGTGACCCCATGTGTGACGGAGCGAAGCTGTGTTTTACAGGGTTTTCAGTGGCTGGTTTTTTGGAAATACATTACCAGGTCTTTCTTCCAAGGTGCCTCTGGGTGGACTTGAACTGCCAAACTTTGGGTTAGCAACCGAGTGCATTAACCATGTTCACCACCTGGAGGCTCCATGACCATCATGGACTCAAAGAATTTCTGGGACTGGAATGGACTTAAATATTACCTATTCCGTCCCCTGCCATCCAGAGGCCAAATTCCCTCCTAAGATATCCCAGCTAGGTGGTCTGGGGGCCTCAATGCAAATGTCTCCAGTACTGAACACATTACTTCCTGAGATAGCTCCTTCATTGTTAGTATGAGCCAAAGAAGTTCTTCCCTGAGCTACACTGAAATTAGATCTCTCTACGTTGTCCATCTGTTGGCCCTAGCTGTCACCCAGGACAGGTCTAAGCCATTCTCCACAAGCTGAGCTTTAGGTATTGGTAAACAGCTACTGAGCTCCTTCTCAGCCTGCTCTTTTTTCAGTTTGAATATTCTCAGTTTCTTCAGCTGATCTTCAGGAAACTGGGCTCCATGACCCCTTCACCCTTCTGTGGACACACTTGAGATGTTAACATTTATACTGAATGCTGGTGCTCAAAACTGAACCCAAAATTCTAGGTGCACCCTGACCAGCCAAGAGCAGAGAAGGCAGAATGTTCTTTCTGAGGGAGAGAATATCACATCACTTTAAGATCATATTGGCTTATCAATAGCTCCATAAGATTTTAAACTTATAGATGTACCACATCTCCCTATTCTGAATTTGGGAGGTTGGTGGTTTTGGACCAGTCCAGGACTTCACATTTATTCATGCGAGACATCATCTTTATTACACCCTTCCAGCCTGTTCCCTTTTTTTTGGATTCTGATTTGGTCACCTAAAAGTGCTTACTCTCTCTCCGTTCAATCACTTGTAGGTTAGTTTCCATCACTCCTATGTAATCATAACAGTGTAGAATAGGACAGACCCTATAGCATATTACTCACAGTAAAAGTCTGTCAGTCTGTTGTACTGTGGAGGTTTGCGTGTTGCTGTGATGCTGGCAGCTATGCCACCAGTATTTCAAACACCAGCAGGGTCAACCCTGGTGGACAGGTTTCAGTGGAGCTTCCAGACTAAAACACACTATGAAGACAGACCAGGCAATCTACTTCTAAAAAAATTTGCCAGTGAAAACCTTATGAATAGCAGTGGAACACTGACAGCCGGCAGATGAGCCCCTCAGGTTGGAAGGCACTCAAAAAATGTCTGAGGAAGAGCCGCCTCCTCAAAGTCGAGTTGACCTTAATGACGTGGATGGAGTCAAGCTTTCGGGACCTTCGTTTGCTGATGTGGCATGACTTAAAATGAGAAAAAATGGCTACCAACATCCATTAATAATAAGAATGTGAAATGTAAGAAGTATGAATCTAGGAAAAATTGGAAGTTGTCAAAAATGAAATGGAATGCTTGAAGATAGATATTAGTGGGCTGAAATGGACTGGTATTGGCCATCGGAAACCATCTGGTCTACTATTCCAGGAATGACAAATTGAAGAGGAATGGCATCACATTCATTGTCAAAAAGAACATTTCAAGATCTATCCTGAAGTACAATGCTGTCAGTTACAGGATAATATCCATATACCTACAAGACAGACCTGTCAATATGACTTTTATTTAAATTGATGCTCCAATCACCAATGCCAAAGATGAAATCGAAAATTTTTACCAACTTCTGCAGTCTGAAATTGACCAAACATGCAATCAAGACGCATAGATAATTATTGGTGATTGGAATGTGGAAGTTGGAAACAAAGAAGAAGGATCTGTAGCTGGAAAACATGGCCTTGGTGACAGAAACGATGGTGAAGATCGAATGATAGAATTTTGCAAAATCAATGACATACTCATTGGAAATACCTTTCTTCAACAACATAAACGGCAACTATACGAGTGGATCTCACCGGATGAAATACACAGGAATCAAACTGACTACATCTGTGGAAAAAGATGATGGAGAAGCTCAATATCATCAGTCAGAACAAGGCCAGGGGCTGACTGTGGAACAGACCATCAACTGCTCATATGCAAATTCAAGTTGAAGCTAAAGAAAACTGAAACAAGTCCACAAGAGTCAAAGTATGACCTTGAGCACGTCCCACCTGAATTTAGAGACTATCTCAAGAACAGATTTGACTCATTGAATGCTAATGACCGAAGACCAGATGAGTTGTAGGATGACATCAAACATGAAGACAGCAAGAGGTAATTAAAAAGATAGGAAAGAAAAAAAAGATCAAAATGGATGTCAGAAGAGACTCTAA